GACGGTTGGTGAAGGTTTTTCCGTTAAAGGAAAATTCTTGCGAAAGGATGGTAAGTTCAACAAGAAGAAAGGTAAAAGTGAGTCGAAGTCTTATAGTGGTGATGCACCTGGTATTCGATGCTATCACTAAGGAGGGTCATACAAGAAAAGTGTGCCTTGAACGCATGAAAGATTATGGAGGTAAGGATAATGGCAATGCAACTATTGTTCAAGATTATTTTGACTCATCTGATGTTCTTGTGGTTTCAAACAACGACACAAGAAAAGAGTGGATTATGGATTCAGGTTGCACATGGCACATGACTCCAAACAAAGTCTTGTTCGAGTAATTATGTGATCAACATAATGGATCTGTATTGTTGGGAAATAACAAAGCTTGCAAGATTGTAGGTGTTGGATCTATGAGATTCAAGCTCCATAATGAGTCGATAAAGTTATTGACTGAAGTCAAGTATATACCTAATTTAAAGAGAAATTTGATTTCTCTTGGTGAATTCGACAAGAAAGGATATGTTTTCCAAGGAGATAAAAGTATCCTAAGAGTCATAAATGGTTTGAAGGAACTCTTAAGAGGCGTGAAGAAACAAGACTTGTATACCCTTGAGGCTGAAGTTGTAAGTGGTTCTATAGATGTTGCATCCACGAAACCTTTGTCGGAGACAAAAATTTGGCACATGATATTGGGCCATGTCAATGAAAGGGGTCTAGTCGAATTGGGGGAAAAAAATTTCTTGGTGGAGACAAAGTCGAAAAGCTAAAGTTTTGTGAACCATGTGTACTTGGAAAATATTGTAGAGTGAAGTTCAACAAGGGAAACCAAAGAACACATGGATCCCTTGATTACATCCATGATGATCTTTGGGGGCCTGCAAGGTGTCCATCACATTCAAGAGCAAGATATTTTCTATCCATAGTAGATGATTATTCCAGAAATTTATGGGTATTCATCCAGAAGACTAAGGATGAAACTTTTGAGATTTTCAAAAGTTAGAAGACTCTGGTCGAAAATTAAACTTGCAGAAAGGTCAAGAGGGTGAGAACTGACAATGTTCTTAAATTTTGCAATGAGGCTTTCGACAAATTTTGTGATGCCTCTGGTATTGCAAGGCACAAAACTACTGCAGGTACTCCATAACAAAATGGTTTGGCTAAAAGGTTTAATCGAATTATTTTATAAAGAGTTAGACAGATGTTGACTAGTGCTTGGTTAAAGAAGGCGTTTTGGGCTGGGGCTATTTTGACAATAACATATTTGATAAACATATGTCCTTCGACTGCATTAGAAATGAAGACACCTGAAGAAGTTATGTCGGGATATCCACCAGATCTCAACAAACTGAGAGTATTTTGTTGTGTAGCCTATTCTCACATTAGGCAAGACAAGGTCGAACCTAGAGCTCTGTGTGATACGGTGGCAGAACCGACTATTATATACTGGTTTTTTGCGTTTTGTGTTTGCAAATGTTGCGGTAAGCAAGAGTCACCACCGGCTTTTCTTTTATCCAAATTAAGGAAAGGGTGAAAAGAACATAAAAAGACCTCTTCGAGATTATTCTGAGTAAGGGGGGTAGATTATGGAAAGGGAAGGTGTTACCACCCTTTCCATCCGTAGTTATCTACGGGCTCTTAGAGGTTTGCTCATTTTGAAAGTACTTTGTGCTTTGTGTGTTTAAAAAAAAGTTTTAAAATTCCTTAGTGCGGATATTTGCTTTGTGTTTAACTCTTGTATCAGTCCTCAAGAGTGTTAACAAAGCAGATGTTTTTGAAAATTATTTTTGAAAGGTAGTATTTGTGTAAGTACAAAAATGTTTTTGAGAAAACTTCTAACAACTATCTACTTTATACTCGAAAAGGTAGTTCTTTTCCTACAATCCTTTAGACAGTGTTATCCTACTATTAGTGAGTAGGTAGCCCTATTGTTGGATGTATGAGGGACATCGAAGGGACGACACAGTCACGAAATCAACTTGTGGAGACACTTTAGCAATTTTGTTTAGGGACTAGATCATTTACCGAGAGGCAACTGTAGGATCATCGAGGGACTATGATCTTTTGATTTATGGGTCTTTGCTAAAGCATCCCCGTTTCGAGGGACATGACTGCTTTATTTCCAAAGGCAACCAAAGTGGGCGCATCTTAGAGGTGCGTATGTGCAATTGTGTTCAATTCAGTTATTTATCTTGCGTTATTAGGTTTACTAACATTTTGTTATTAGTCTTTTCATACATGCCTAGTTACTAACAGTTAATATGATACAGACAATAAAATGCGGAAAATATAACCCTACGCTATTACATGGATCCGGGGAGGGGATATTTACAATGTACAAAAATTTGGGGGAAGAAAAAATAAAGAGAGCAGATAAAATCCTATTAACTATTACATCTAGTGTACAGGTACAATAATGTAAAAATACGAAAGAAAATAAATAACGAGCGAAAGTTAAAAGTACGTCTAAAAACTTAGTAAGAAAATCTTTTTGCTTATTTTTTTTATTTAAGAAAATAATTAAAATTGAATTAAAGGTAATAGTCTAAGTTCTTTTTGGTTTTTGTATTATAAAAAGAAAATAATTAAACATGAATTAAGTCCTAAATTCCAATTTATTTTTAATTGAAGAAAAATAGTTAAAATAGTTATTAATTAATCCACAAAATTAATTTAATTATAAAAAAAACTAAAACTATATTTTTTTGTGATTTTATTTGATTTGAAGTTAATTTTAAAAAATCAATAAAGAAATGAGTGAAGCAAAGTTAATGATACGAAGAGCCCTCCTTCGATTCAAGGGGAAACGTGGCATTTCGATTTAGGGAAGAATAATGGTTTTCGACCCATGGGGACAGACCTTCGATCTTGTGATGGCATGCCTTCGACCCAGCAGAGAACGTTGCTGAGGCGCCTGATGACTTGGCCTGAAAGCACTAAAATATGCAAGAAAAAATGTCAACGATACAAAAGCATGACCTGGGCGTGAACCCAGGTTTTTTTTCCAGTTCGAACTCCATTAATTAGAATTCTTTGAATTTGAATTTGGGCTTGTTCGCCTTAGAAAAAACCAAATGTCTCTTGGGATTCGATGAAAAGCACGTATCGTGTCTTCTATCTTTGTATGTCCATGAGAACGATGTGTTATCTTATATCCTGGGCATGAATCAGACACTAAGAAATATCAATATATCATGAAAACAAGAACATGAGTTTGAAATTTTACCAAGGATGAGATGCTTCGACTGGGGCGTGAATTGGCTAGTGTTTGAGAATACTTCCTGCAGACTTCAGAGAATGAATGGAGCATTGTTGAAACTTCCTTAGATTGGGACTATGTATGAGGATTTTGATACCTTTGGGATGGTTTATAGGGCATCGTATGCATGCAAAACAATCTCCCTTGGGCTTGTGTCTCTGGTCTCCTTATATAAAGGGGATGGAGGGGACAGGAAGGCAAAGGTTTAAACAACCATAAGCAAGTGTTTTCAAAGCCATGAATGAAGTTTTGTAATGTTGCAAAAGTCATGGAAACTTGTCCCTTTTGAATTTGAATGAACCTGGACACTTTGGCTCCTTCGAATGTCCTCCAGTTTTGCTCTTCGATTGGCCTCAAGTTGCCTCTTTCGAATGGACCTCTCGTGTAGCCTTCAAATGGGCCTTCTGCATGCTTCTTCGAATGTACCTCTTGTGTACCCTTCGAATGGATCTAGTATTACTTCCTCCGAATGGGTCTTTAGATGGTCCTTTTGTGTAACCTTCCAATGGGCCTATCATCCGTGTTGACGTGTGTATAATTGTTTCAAAGGGGGGGCCGACACCCAGTCAAAGCTGGCACAAAGGCAGCCTATGCCTTGTGGATGCTAGCATGTGTTGCACCCCAAAATTTGCCCTCATAATTTCTCTCATTCTGACTTAGACTTTGCATTCATCTGCATCATTCCAATAGGTCATGTGTATAGTATGCATTTTCATAAAAAAATAAAGCACCTGAGGTTCAAAAGAGCAATAGTTATGAAGTTAGGGTTTATAGTTGATTGGGGGGTATATGTTGAATAAAGTTGATTATTTTGGTTCTTCTTGGTTTACAAGACTGGGGAATTAGGGTTTTGATGCACGTTCAGTTTGGAATTTTTTCTCCATCAAGCAACAAAGTTATTCTCTTCGTTTGGTCATCAAGCTGTGGGATTTTTCTTATCAAGAATTTAGGGGTGTGACTTAGCATACATACCCTTAGAATCAAGATGTCTTCTCATATGAGTGTGTCTGTCATTTGATCATAATTAATGACTGTGGCACGATATTCATCCATTCCTCAGTTAATTAATTCAGGTTTGTTTGAATCATGGGTTAAAGATACTTCATCTAGATGTCTCTTCGTGCATTTGAACTGAGGAATCGAGGGTGTGAGGTGTGGTTATCAGGATTCCTTTCTTGTCAGTATATATTTGTTTTTATCCTGCCTCAGCAAGTGCTGGGGTTTTCATTTGTGCGACTAGAGTTTTCATGTCAATGGAATTCTTCCGTGATTCAGACCTTAACGTCCATCTGTGAGATGATCCTCATGACACTAATTTCGAGTGGATGAAACTGGTCATTAAGGGCTAAGGATTGAATCGAGAAGCGTGACTAATGGAATAAGATATGAATTTGTGGACTTACTCTTAATAAATGCAATACGAGCAGTTTTGGATGCAAATAGGCTTCTCATTGAAGGATTTACGCAAGGTGATTCAAGGTTCATTCATGATTTGATTCAGGACTTTTATTCAAAATATTCAATACAGGTTCAGTTCATTCGTCTTGTATCATAGTTCATTTTATATGATAAATCAAGGAAAACCTTGAAATTAAATGCGAATGGGAAAGGAAGAACCCATTCAAAATCCATTCGAGTGGTTTCTTTAGTTATAGTTCGTCAAATTGGATTAACTTTTATTAAGATGCGAGTGTGTGGATTATTTGGAGTTCAAGCTTTGGAAAAAAAATCAACAACAAACATAATGGGCGTAATGATCATTCATTTGGTTTTAGTATTTCTGGCAGCAGAGATTTACAAAATGCATCTAGTTCATTTGGATCAGCTTCATTTGTATAATAAAATTAATCATGGTCACGAATTGGCTAATGGAATTGTTGAACCACAATGTTTTTCCCCTAGTGGGAACTTTAGTCAACATTTTAATTACTTAAATCCACAGTTTGATGAACAAAAATTTTAAACAACTATGCTGCTGAAAGTCAGTAGCCCATTGGTTACTCCAGTCAATCATTACATGGTGTACAACAGCGTTCTTATGCCCCTCATGTTGGAAGATTATTTTCTAGGCATCCTGCCCATGCCTTGGTTACCTTTGGGTTTGGTGGAAAACTCATGATAATGAAAGATTCTGGTCTTTTGAGCTCAACATATGGAAGTCAGAAGAGCGCCGTATTGTTTCTGTGTTAAACTTGATGGAAGTTGTATCAGGAAGCATTAGTTCTTCTCGTATTGGAAATCGCGCTGGTGTTTATTTTCGTGCACCTGGGCAGCAATCTGTCCCAGGTGCATTAGTTGGTGAAAGTATCAGAACCAATACGAGAAACCGGTTCATCCGCCAAAACCAGATTATAGCAGTTTTCTTCCATCACAAGAATTGCAAACTTGCATCAAAATACCATAACAAATTTAGCATACTTTTTGTATCACTAATGCATGCGATGTAGATGAATCCAGCCAGCCCATGTGCGTAAAAATACCAAGATTTAGACTACCACATCGTAAAAGTCTGCAACTGATTTACAGGCGCCCTTTCACTTTCAAATTCCAAGGCAATTTAGTGGACCTGTATTTGTACATCATGAGAAAAAACCCTATGATAAGTCATGTTATGCCCTGCTGCAACGAATATCATCATCCATGTCAACTTCGTGATCAACATCATGCTACATACCTGCAAGAGCAAACTATTACTACATCCAACTCAAACCAAGGCACATTCAATACAAAAAAAATCACACATACAAAAACTCATCAAGGCATTCAATTTCAGTATGGTTCTATCAAAGAAAATTTAAAGTCTTTACATCCGACTAGTTGCAGTTTTATAACTAGTTTTTTCCATCACGAGGGACTTAAACAAATGTCTTGAAATATAAAAGTTTTCATCTGATGAGAGATAAAAATAGTGAATCTACTGCCTCTTCACATGCAGACCACACAGTAAAAAAACCATTGGTTAAGAAACTGGAAATTGCTTGAAAGAATTAGGTGAATACAGAAGGTCATTTCACAAAAAAAAATCGTTCATCTTAGCATTGAGCCAGTCAATCAGCTTTACTCAAAAATGAACCAAAAACCTTGCAGTCATCAAAACCGGTCTGCTGACCATGGCCCTGCGCGTGCGTTATCCAGTTCAGAAAATGCAGAAGAAAAAATTGCATTAACTGTCATTCAAAAAGAAAGAAAATCCGGGAGATAAATTTTGAAACCGTGAAAACCTCATTAGACCAGCTCAACACTAAATCAGAAAGTGAATTTAGAAATTCCAGCATTCATAACAGAAAATTTTCCAGCTCATAGATATCTCTAACTAACTTCTCAAACTCAAAACAGAATCTCTAACTAACTTCCTAACCATAAGAGAAGTATAAAAATAGAAAAACTCACCTTATAGATGGATTCTCCAATTCTCTGAAGGATCACAGAAAAAAGTCTCGCGTCTTCTCTCTACTATCTTCTTCCATCTTCAACCACTGACTCACTCTGTAATTGGATTTCCTCTGCAAAACTTTCATCACCATTGATTCTTCAACCTTCATCTGCAACAAACAATAGCACCTGCATCTTCAATTCTTCTTCAATCCCTGCAAAATCATCTTTAACATTTTTCATTCAATTCTGGAACATTTGGAAGAATCACAGTAAGGGGACACTTTTTTCCTCCCAATCTTGATTCTCCATATTCATTCTTCAATCCACCAAAAATCAACAAAATCTCTCTTCCCTCTACTTTCTTCTTCAACCACAATCCTTGACTTCTGCAGAAGAATCTCCCGCTTCTCTCATCATCACATTTCATTCTTCTCTCATCATCACATTTCATTCTTCACTTCTACAGAAGGATCACCATGCTGATTCTGCTTCATCTTCCATGCACCCTACTCCATAACCGAATTCTCTTGCAATCTCTCAGCACAATTTCCATCTTCATCACTATAGCATCAATCTTCAACTCATCAACTACACTGCACTCTTCAAATTCTTTTCTATATTTCTCTGATGTCTATCTGAAATCTTCGTCAACCTTTCAATCTTCATCTTCAGCCGCTTCAAGGCTTCGTCATCATTCCACATCTTCGTCACCATTAAATCTCAACGACTTCAATCATTTTTACCGGAAATCTGCAAACGCATTATAGCTTTGATCGTCATCATCATATTCGTTTGGTTCTCAGCATTGCCAATGCATCATTGCTTCTCTTAATCACAATATCAACGATGAAAACACAGAGAAGCTTAATGAAGTGGAATAGTTCGTCAGAGAAGATTGAAGTTTCATCGGCGATTTGGACAGGACGGAAGGTTGAATTGTGGAGAAATCGAGTTTAGATGAGTAGGAGGATTAAGAAAGACCTTACGAAAGAGAGACAGAGGAGTTTGATTTGATTCGAAGCGAAAAAATATGAGGATTGAGCGGAAGAGCTAGGAATCGCGCCGCCGTTGAGCTGAGAAGAAGAAGTTTGTTTCAGTACGCAGAGTGTCACAATGATTTCTTAACCCTAAATTTCCTCTTTCATTTTGTTAAAATTAATTTGTTTGCTTTATTAACAATGAAGATCAAATATGATTTGTATAAAAAAATGAATTCGGGCCCTCTAAATCCATCATTTTTTAGTCTGGCAGAGTTAAAGAAAAAAAAGGCTCAGTAGACTTGTTCAATTGGGCTAAGCGCCCAAGCCTCCTAGTGTCCAGAATCCTGAATTTTAGTTTTACACCCCTCTAGGTAATTTTAGATTGTTCTAACAATTTTCTTTTCTTGGACTTTGTTAAAAAAAATTGATGTTATAAACAACAATAATCAGTAGAGTGTTAGATTTGTTTTGAGTCTTAGGAATTAATTAGGGTTCTCACTATTAGTTTCTTTAATCTCTTGAGTTTAATGTTGTAAATGATTGTAGACATTTCTTTGATTGGTAGCCGATATCATTTTTTAAGTTGTAATTTGATGTTGGAGTTTAACTCAAGTTTCCTTGTTATTTGCTAACTCCTTTGGTGATTTGTGCAAGTTTGGAAGCTACTTTATTGCTCGATGTGATTTATTCAGATATAGTCTTGTTGTATAGACTTACCTTGTGCAGGGACTTTGACTTGATGTGATTTCTCCGCTCACGTTTTATTTCCGTGTAATGATGTGGGATTCTCATTGGATATTTTTTCTGATCTTTCATCTATAGATTGGTGAAGCTTCGTGAAGATCATCGGGTTTCTTTGTTTTGATATGCTTTACTACTAACTTTTGTTTGCTTGGTATTTTCTCTTGTTTATCTAATTTCATCACTTTACTGCTTTCTAGATATCATGAGAAGTAGGAAATAAAGAGTGTGCACTCGAAGTTGCTGTTTAAAGACCTGTAGCAGGAATTCTACACTTCATTTACTATATGTGTTGTACTTGTGTTTGTTTACTTTCTTGTTGATCGATGAGTCACTCAATTTAGAAATTGAGATCACGACTTTGCTCTCAGTTCATGCTCCCTATAGGATTTTATCTCTTCCTTTATTTCTTGTTGACCGATGAGTTACTCAATTTAGAAATTGAGATCATAACTTCGCTCTCATTGCATGTTCCCCATCGGATAGTTTTGTTAGACTTTCTTTGGTACACTAGCTTAGATAGGATCTCTCTAGTTGTGTTATCTTGAGCTTATTGGCTTGCTTGTTTGATTTCATCTTTGTGTGCATGTTTTAAGATGGTATACCCTCGGCATGTTGCCTTAGGAGCTCTCGATTCAACTATAGATGATAATTCGAGATATATATAGTTTTAGGTGATAGACCCTTGCTATGCTCCTTTAGGACTTCTTGATTCATCTATAGATGATGATTTGAGATAGGCATTAGGATTGTTATCCAAGCATGTCAACTTAGGGTAGAGATTTCCCTTCAAAACTCAACTTTAGAATCTATCATTGTATGATAACATTAGGGAAAGAGATAGGTCAGTCTCCCTTAGATGTTTTTTCTTTTCTTTTGCATCCTTGCATTAAGACTAAAACACTTTTCTTGAAAAATAATAAAACATCTAACAACTTTCAAATCCTTCTTTAAGGTAAAAAATACCAATCAATACAAACTCTTTTGTTCCTTCGGGCTTTTCTTTCAAACTTTTTCAGAAAGAACATGTTAATTCACTTCTGTGCTGACGCGTAAATCTCCAAAGGTCGAGTTGCGACAAAAAGAGAAATTAATATTGTTCATTAAAAAAATACAAACCAACAAAAAATATTTGAAGGCGAACTACGACTGCTCTGATTCCTTGAAAGGGATACATAGGCATTGAGATAGGGCCCAAGCGAGCACAACTTTTATTTTCCCTACATTATTTTCTCTTTTTTTTTTGCATGCATTCTGTTGTAACCCAAAATTTTCCCTCTCATTTCTCAAGAATTTCCTCCCAAGATCTCCCATGACATCCACTTTGCAGCACTAATACATTGACTTGGGTTTGGAATTGACACAAGGGCAAAATGGTCAATTACACACTGAAAAGTCAAACTTTGACTTTTGGATCAAAATTAAGTTCCAAGAATCATATTTCATTCATACATATTGGAACATGAAGTTTGTTTGATTAAGGAAATCAAAAGTCAAGATTATGTTGAAAAAGTCAAAATTCTAAATACTTTGAAATTTTTCTAAGTGTTTAAGAAATATGATAAATTCAAAACTTCTGGCCAGATTTTCACCATGATGCAACTTGATTCTGGAAGAACTTCTAACACAAGAGTTGTAAACCTCAATGAGATATAAAACATTGTAGAACAAAATTTCTTCTAGAAATGCTGGGATTTCAAGTTATACATCTTCAAAGGCACGTCATTAAAACTAAAACATTCAGTAAATTCTAGACCTTTCCAAAACTGGATTTGGATAGAACTTCTGGACCAGTTTTCATGAAGGTCCAATCAGAATTTGCAAGAGTAATTCAAAGAGGGGCTACAAAGTGTGTTACAAGCTTTCTGGAAAGTTTGAGAACTCACTTAAAACATGTTAGAGCAAAGAGATTCAAAGATCAGAAGTTGGATGTTTATTCTAAGTTACGCTGATGCTGAACTTCTGACCCATAATTAACATATGATGCATAATCTCATATTGCAGGATTTTTGGTTTGATAAATCTCATCATCATTTAATGCTCACAACCACTTTTGAGTTTTTATCCAAAGGATTTCCCCACGTGTGAGATAGAAGTACTTTTGCTGTCCTTGAAAAGTAAACTTTTGCACAAGTTTAAGTTGGGCCCATGCTTTGCTTTTGCCTCTGAGGGTACTTTTCCTTAATTCATGCTTACAAGTCCAACTTAGGCACGACTAAAAGCTGCTAAGCACCATACTTGTTTAACTTTCTTCAAGAACAAGTCAGCGCCCTAGCATGATGGTTGTACTCTTGACTTCTCCAAGCTACAAGAGACTTGCCTATAAATTGAACTTCATTTGCAACTATAAAGAGGTCTAAAAATTGAAAAGAAAAGCCTTGAAACCTTGCTAAAATCACCTAAAAACTTAAAGTTGCAACCTAAATACAAAATCTGCTAGTCTTTGATTTTTGCATTCAAATTCCAATTTTCTTCAAGTGTTTCTCGACCAAATCATCAACATAGTTTCTGATACACATTTAGAAGTCATCCTAGCCTTTATTTTCAAATTGCAGTTCCATCTCCACCAATTTCCATTTCAAAATCAGAACTTTGCTTCTTGGCTATTCCAAAAAATTTTAACCATTCATAGCTCAACTTAAGGGTTGTTCTAGCTTTCTGAGCACGTGAGAAAGCTGACCAGAACATTGCAGCAGTCAGAATCGAATTCTAGCTCACAGGACATTTTTCAGCTGCAAGGTAAGCTTCTGTTGACTCTCATCATATTACTTAGGCATTGATAGACTTGCATGTTCAAAAATAAAATGTAGACATCCTGACTCTGATGTTATACATATTCATAAATTTTATCTATTTTGTTTAAGTAGACATAATTTCAATTCAGAACTTCTTGAGGAAATTAAGATTTAGAATTAGGATCAGCAGAATTCATGCTTGCTTCTGATTTATAGTCCTAATATTTTATGTTTTTGAAATCGTGATAGAAACCTACCATAACTGCTATAGTTGCATTATTTGTTCTGTTGAGAAATGATTAAGTTGCAGATATTCTGATTGGCACGGGAAGGGAGATGAAGCTCAACACCATAACTTATTTTGTGTTATATCCATATGTTTTTTTCTTCTGATCCCGAATGTATAGTCACCCCAGTGGTAGATAGCATGTGCATAAGACATTAGTGTTAAGGGTCTTGAGTTCTAGCCCCAGAAACAACTTTTTTTATTGTTTATTTCCTGACTTTTTACCCCATTAATTGGACTAGAACTTCTAGATCAATCCCTTTAATTGCTTATCAAAACATTGATCCTGAACCAAAACTTTTAGACATTCTCATCCAACAACATTGGCACTTATTTACCCATCAACAGAATTTCTAGGTGCCCAGCTACATCAGAACTTTCACACTCTCTCAATAACCTGAATTTATGACCTTTCAGTTAGCATTAGAGCTTCCAGGCTGCCAGTGACATCATAATTTCTAAGATTTCCCTAGTACCCAGCAACCTCAGAACTTTAATGTACTTGGACTCAGAACTTCTGACCGTCCCTTTTTCTGCTAACATTTTCCTTCTGACTTACAGCGCAATAGAGTCAGAGCTTCTTACTTCAGCAACGCGCTGATTCTGATTCTTTTTCCCTTAGTATTTTTATCATCATTTTATCTTTAATAATCAAAACTACTAAAAATATTTGTATACATCCCATACTTTATTTCTTTAAAAAATCAAA